TCCCATTTGGAGGATCTCCCATCTTGGTCATTCTTTGGGATAAATCGATACTCCGATTTGAATTGAATCTGTTTTCACAATAAGAAAAGAAATATTCGCGAACATTGTTCTAGACTCAAGTAAAGAATAAAAGAACATTAGCGGTTTAAACTGACAGAATACTACAACACTTTTAAACAATAACGAATTAAGCAAACACTCCGTTACATTAGAACTATATGGTACGTTTGCAATGCATGTGCGGAGTTTCTCCATGCATTCGAAAAACGAAATGTCTGCACTGTGACTTTAAAAATGATTTACAATTTATTAGAACGCGCATTCTGAGGGAATAAATCTCGAGCTTTTTTAATATTACAACAAACAATATTGCGTGCACCTTGCGCTTTTTTTTTTACTACATTTCGTATAGAAGAGCAGAGTCATTTTTTAACTGTATTGTTCAGTCCAAGTATTACAGGTTGTATACGGTTGAAAGTAGCCAAGAATATAGCTGAAATATTACCGGCGTGACATTCGCCTCGACGATGGTTTCAATATCTTTAGCAGTTTAAAAAGGAATTCAGGCGGTTAACGTGCCTGTTACGAAATATGGGCGGCCCTTCGCGCTGTTCTGTAACGACGCGTGCGTAACTTTGATAGACAGAAGGCGTTCTTTATTCGCTGTTCGCAGAAGTTTCGCGAGGCATTAAGCGATCAAGCCGGTACCAACCGTTTTACGGCGGCAACTTCTGCGAGATATCCGACGACGGTGCGCCTTTGACGGTCTTCGGGGCGCACTTTATGAACGTGTGCTACAGAGCACCGCTGTTGTACACTGTTGCATATTAATGGTTACGAGCGCGCGCTTCCTTAAAGGACGCTGCGGTGGAGGCTCAGCGGATCGCTGAGCTCGTATTCTATCCCCCTGTCATCCACGATCTCGCCGAAGATCGTCGATACGCACGTGGGGAGCGCGAACGAGGAAAGTTAGGGGCAAAATTTGTCTTATGTTGTTGGAAAGGCACTCCGGAGCGTCTCCGATTGTCTCATGCATTCTACAACGGCGAAGCTATCGAGAACACCGCGCGATCGGAGAAATTGATATTGGCTTCGAGTTCGACCGCAACGGTCCAACTTCCGACTCGCGGTGGAGGATGATGTAATCATCCTCCACCGTCAACTATTTCGAGCAGACGGTGACGGTGACGGTAATGAAATTTGCCCGAATCATTATGTGCGCATATTCTC